TGACCCAAGGACCTGCAGAGCTCTGGCCTCATGGTAAAGATTACCACACATCCCATAACTCCTGAAGGTATACAATAATTACCAACATTGTGGCAATCCGACTAAGCAATGGAAACCTTGGATATAGACAGAATCTATTCTGAGTACCAATGTACTGAGAAGTTTACGAATAGGGACAGAACTATGATTCCCTCATAGGAGCCGATGGAATTCGAGATTCCAACAACAACCAGGAGGAATGTAGAAGCCAAAATTTGAATCAATGTTCATGCTAACAATGGCTCCAGCTCATCCACAATGAAGCTGGTGATCCTGAGAGTCTTCTAACAAAGTGATGCTTTGTAAAGAAAAAATGATAAAATTATTTGAATGAAGTTCTTATATGCAGTACCAAGATAGAGGGGGCATTGGCATAGGTGGAGAGTATAACAAGACAGTTATTGCCAAGGGCAATTGAGTGGTATATAAAAAACTGGATCAAGTGAGAAAAACTGAGACTAATGCTTAAAGGAGCAAATAAGAAATCCTGACAGTCGCTATATATGATTGGAATAAAGTGTTGAGGTAATAATAATAATTCACAACATAAGATTTTTAGTAGTGTAATAAACATGAAATAAATAAATTTGTACATCATTATGCAATTCAAAAGTCCATCTCTATTCTTTATTTCAGGTAAACCTTTTTGAGTTGGTGATCTGTGTGAAAATGCCACTGACTGCATACTCCTAGTATTAAATAAGTATTATTTGTAGATCTTTATTGTCTCACAATATTGCCAGTTACATGACATCAAAACAAATTTTTAATTATGAAAAATAACACAGAGTATACTATACTGTCACATTCAGTTATTATAACCCTAACGAAAAACATAACACCAAAACAAATTTTTAATTATGAAAAATAACACAGAGTATACTATACTGTCACATTCAGTTATTATAACCTTAACGAAAAACATAACACCAAAACAAATTTATAATTTGATACATAACTTAGCACAATTTTGAGGTGTAGCATACATTACTGAGCCTAATGGAAACCTATCACAACACAGCCTAATGATTTTAAAAAACAACTTAAGCCAATCTTGTGATATTAATGCTTAACAATTTGCTTGACAAATAAAGCAAATTGATATAGTATTTTAAAAATAAAAATTAGTCCTTGTAACAATGAAATTTTTTCCAAAGAAATCATTTGCACTACAGCACTTGTGAATGCATTAACTGCATATTCTTCTCAATATATATAACATTGTTACGACAGCGGAGGTCACATGATGCTGGTAACATGTGATAAGTGTCTAGAAGGTTCATGAAGAGGCGAATGAATTCTAGACGCCCTCTATTCTTGTATATAAGCGCGGCAAATAAAGCGAGATAATTAATTGGATAGCAGACAGAGATAGGGAGACAGATAATCGAGTCAAGTCATAAGTAAAGTGTGTGAATCGTTGTAAATCATAGCATGTGTTTAATTTAAAGTGACTGTGGAAATTAAGTGTATTGCAAAGTTGTATTGAGAAAGAATAAACTAGTTTTATTTAAGAAAGGACTTGTATTGCTGAAGTTCCTCGGGAAGAATTTTTACGGGAAATTAACAAATGAACAGAGACGTAACTATATTATGTAATAACAGTTTCATTTCATCCACAGCAACTCACATGATTGTTTAATTTTCATACTGTCTGGTTTTCTATCCATGTACATCTTTTTGGCTATTTTCAAGTGTAGTGTTTTAGACACAACTTTTTTCGCTGTTTTCAAGTGTAGTGTTTTAGACACAACTTTTTTCGCTGTTTTCAAGTGTAGTATTTTAAACACAAATGTTTAGCTGTTTTCAAGTGTAGTGTTGTTCAGATTTAATACTGTCTTGTTTTCTATCCAAGCACAACTTTTGACTGTTTTCAAGTGTAGTGTTGTTTAGATTTTGTACTATTTTGTTTTGACTCTGGATTGTAGGTTTGTTTATCAAGTATACATAACACATACAAAAAAAAAGAAAAACTTAGCACTTTCAATGTCACAAAAAATCTTCTTCCACACTTACTTATTAACTTTAAATAAATTGTTAGTGTCTGAAGTTTATTTTCTATTTCAGTTTCAATCTGTTCATATAACTTTTATAGTTCATTTTTGAAATGAGTTTCTTATACAAACATATTTTTTTTCTTTCTTTACTTTTCTAGTGACAAAAACTTCTAAATAACATGTATAGAATTAACTTACTGTATTTTTCAGTGTATAAGACGCACTTTTTTACCCCAAAATTTGATGTCAAAATCTGCTTCCATCCTATACACCAAAGGTATGAATAATATATATGTATATATACGATATACACAAGCCATGTGTAAATATATTTAAATAGGCATACATAGTTTAGTTCAATTAGTTGAATGTGTTATTT